TGGGAGGGGCAAAATAAAGAGTAAAATAGTTGTGGTCCTTGCTCCCCTGGAGTTTAGAGTCTACTGGTGAAGGAGCTATTAACTAAAGCACACTATGACAGTCCCCTCCTCTGAGGCAATGGTAATATAATGGAGTCACAAAATCAAATATATGTGAGGAACAGACATTATTACAATGTATGAAGAGTAGAGAGTAAGTAATAAAAGAGTAGTTAAGTCTATGGCAAAACAGAAAGTACAAGTTTGAGCCAGACATACACTATTCTTTGTTGTACTGATGATTACACAAAGCATATTATAGGCTGGATCTAGCCTGCCGGCTGTACGCTGCGACATCTGAAAAGAATGCTTCAAAATGTGATTTGTTGCTTCAAATTCTGGACTAGCACACCACTACTGTAGAATTAAATGATAAACAGATAACTTTTTCATAGAAGCCAAATCTTAAGTAAGTTTTCTGTAAATACTTCATAGTCCTTCTTCCCTATGTAATCTGAGGTCTTTGGTAGCGTATTTATAAAGCAACTCTACTTGTTCAAGCTGAACCGTTTCATTAACTGACCTTGAAATCTTGCCATTCCCTTAACAAGATAGTAAAAATTAACTGGCCCAAAAGAAGACACTACCAGCTGCTGAACCATGACCAACAAGTACCAAATATGCAGGCACTTCTTACTGAAAATCCTCTGGGTGTTCATGTTCTTTCTACTGAGTGGCTGGTAAGCTCATATGTATTCACCATCAGAGTACACACATATACTCTTGGCTACAAGCACTTGCTGTCTCATTTCTACCCATAAGCATAGAGAAAGGACAAAATTACTTTTTAAAATATTGATATTCATCTTATCATCATCACCTTTGGCTACAAAGCAAGGAAGACAATGAAATTAAATATACATTATACTTCCTCCCATAGAAGTGTTATGACTTCAGAACTTGAATAAAGGCATGTGATCAGAGCCACACATTTCTATGTGGTTTGTATGAAAATGCTGTTTTTGATAAATTGCACTAACAATACAAATAACATTAAAAATTTTATGTTGTCATTGATTTATAAAGCAAATGTGGAAATATTTATTATACTATCTTAACTTATACATTGTTAGTCAGTTGTCAATTTCAAGTGGCAATTAATAAACATTTGCCATTCTAAAATATATAAACTACTAGGCTTACATACTTTTTCTAATAAATTATTCCACGACAAATCTCAACTATTGCCACTATTAACAGGCAGCTGTGGCAGAGAAAGGTAGGTATCTACTCAATATCTATTCTTTTTTGTTTATTAAAAAACCCATATTTCCGTGGGTGTAGGGGAACAGCAATGTATCCATCTTAAAAAAAAATATTTCCCAGCTTTCCGTGGAAATAGTAGCCATATATCAGAATTCTAGTCAAACAGATTAAGTGGAAGTTGCTTTTGGGGCTTAAGGGAAAGCTCTTTAAAAGGGTGACAGACTTGGTTCAGATATGCCAAAGAGAGGTCTAGCCTCAGTCCAGGCTCATGGGAGGTACCTCTAAACCCTTGGAATTTCCCAAATGATAGAAGTATCTTTGTTGTTCATGGTGGGCTCCTCCAACCACATCTGATAGTTTATGCTAATGAGGCAACTCATGGTGGGTCCCTAAACAGTTTATGCTAATAAGAGGATTCAGCATGGGGGCTGGCCAAGATAGAAAGACCAATCATGTGATTAGAGGGTAGGGGCACTGAGCTGGGTGATATCAGCCCAACCTCAGGGGAAGGGAGAAGAGAGGGCTAAAGATTGAGTTCAACCAGGTGGGCGATGATTCAATCTATGGCTATGTAATAAAACCCCAATAAAAACTCTGGACACCGAAGTTTAGCGAGCTTCCTGGGTTGGCGATTTTCCATGTACTACTACACATTGATGGTGGGAGGGTAACGTGTCCCTGAGGACAATGCAAACTTCATGTTTGGAATCCTTTCAGTCCCAGATTCTGCTCTACGTATCTCTTCCTTTGGCTGATTCTGATTTGTATTCTTAAAACTGTACAGGCATACCTCGTTTTATTGCTCTTCACTTTATTGTGCTTCGCAGATAAAGCACTTTTTACAAGACCCTCCACCAGCAAAAAGATTATGACTCACTAAAGGCGCAGGTGATGGTTAGGATTTTTTAGCAATAAAGTATTTTTTTGTGTGTGTGTGAGAAAGATCAGCCCTGAGCTAACATCCATGCCAATCTTCTTCTTTTTGCTGAGGAAGACTGGCCCTGAGCTAACATCTGTGCCGATCTTCCTCCACTTTATGTGGCATGCTGCCACAGCACAGCCTGACAAGCAGTGCGTCGGTGCGTGACCGGGATCCAAACCTGGGCCGCCAGCAGCAGAGTATGTGCACTTAACCGCAACGCCACAGGGCGGGCCCAAAGTATTTTTTAATTGAGGTAAGTACATTGGGTTTTTTAGACATAATGCAATTGCACACTTAATAGACTATAGTATAGTGTAAACATTACTTTTATAAGCACTGGGAAACCAAAAAATTCGTGTGCCTCGCTTGATTGCGATATTCACTTCACTGCACTGGTCTGGAACTGAATCCGCAATATCTCCAAGGTATGCCTGTAATCATAATACTTTGTTATACTCCTGAGAGAGTCTAGAGGGACCCAAAATTTGTAGCCAGCTGGTAATGAGTGAGAGTGGCTCTGGGGACCCCCAAACTTACAGCTGGTATCAGAAGTCCTGGGCAGACCTGGCAGTCTGTAGTACTTTTTCCTTAGCCTCAAGTTTGGCTGCCTTTGTCTTTCCTCTCTTCTGAATCCAATGCTGGACACACAGCAGTCATCTTGTGACAAGAGGGTGACAAACATATGCCAAGTATATCAGGCAGAGTTCAGTCAGGGAAACAGAACTTGCTCTAAGTATTTCAAAAAGGATTTAATGCAGGGACTTAGGTACTTAAACACGGGACAACCTGGAAGACCAAAAGACTAGGGAGACCCCTGCAGGCTTTTAGGTTTGCCACCACAGCTAAAGTACAGAGAATCTGGAAGTTGTTGTTGCCACTCAAGTTAGGAAACTGCAGGAAACAGGAACTATAAACCAAGGCAGGTAATTCAGAATGGAACGCCCAAAGACAGATGCAAAATCTCACAACTGCAAAGCCCAGGGATCTGCCCACCACTGCCAGAGAAGAAGAATATGGCTTTTGTCTCCCTCCAGTCTTCACTGGCAGAAAGTAATATAACGAGAATCATACAATATGAGTCTTATTTTTAATATGTTTGTTTAGCAGTTTATGAAACGACAATTTGAAAACTTTCAAAATCAGTTATTTTATTCATAGTTCTAATCATTATCATATCTGAAAAAGACTTACAGAGATCCATAGACCCAAGTAGAGGTGCATCCTTTTTTTCAGTCCCTATCAATCATTTTGTTGAAATCTGGCTAGAAAATTATTGATTTTCTCAAAGTATTCTTATGAAAAAATCAGAAGTTGTATTTTTATATTTTTAATAATCAGTCCCAAATTCTCTGCAACTATTTATACAAGTTTTAAACATATTTGAAATTTCTAATTCCAGGTTTTTAAGTAAGAAGATGTTAAGAGTTTTATAATAACATATGCATCTAGTTTTCAGTGACAAAATCATATAGCGATGTTTACATTGCCAAATGTTTCAAATGTCCTTCTCTATAGCATGAGTTTATTTCCAAAAGCAGTTGCTTTGTCATCTACTATCATAACATTAATTCTTACTTGCAGGGACAGATTAATGTGTCTATTTTTTTTTAATATCTTGTTATGTAACATCCTGTGACAGAAATCTTTTTAAAGCACTCATCCATCTTATGAAGGTTAAAATCCACTTAATCTAGCACATGCAAACTGCAAGAAAATTGCAACATTCTGAAAATGAGTATGAGTGTGAGCACCACTGTCATTCCACTCCATGATGTGCAAGTCCCTTCTCCTCTCAGGTAACTCCTGAACCACATGGACAAGTGGCCATTGGACCCAAGGACCTAGAGAGGTCTCAGTACCATGGCACAGCAAATATTAGTATAGCTTAAAAACCTTTCGCGTTTGTAATTTTAAAAAGTCAAATGGAATTTTAGACATCCCCCCCACATCAATGGATCATCATGCACATTCCACTACAGAAAATGCTAATCGTAAAAAATGATAAAGGTTTTTTTTAAAAAAAAAACCTGAATTTAGCAGTGACTGAATATACTGAGCACTCAGAAAATATTTGTGGAAGGGAGGGAGGCAAAGAGGAAAGGAAGGGAAGAAGGAATTAGAGGGGCTAAAGAATTTTCAAAGTTGATATATCCTGAGGAACAAAGTCCTGGTTATCAAAAAAAATATCATTTATGAATAGAGATTTTTTAAAAAAACAAACAAAATGTTACTACTATTTTAAAATCCATGACTTAGAGGAGATTAAGAAATTAGAAGGTGAGACCTAAGAAAAGAGTCTAGGATCGAGGATTACATTTACCTATGCTCTAAAGTCAGTTTTTTGGACATAAGCAAAGGAATTTACATTGGAACCCAGGGCTCCTGACAGAGTAAGGATCTGGGCAACTATCTACATCATGTAAGCATAAGGTTACATAAGCACAGAAGGCCTTTTAATTTCACTTTAAGTTAACATGATTTTAAAACTATACTAGAGAACAATTAGACTCTGTACAACTATATATAAATCTCACACAATAAGAAAAGTTAATTGAAATCACTTAAATATAAATATATTCCAATTTGGTAAATAGTTATTATGAAGTCACTTGAATGAAGAAAGGAAAGCCAAGGCATAAGGTGTTCATAGATGACTACAGTGCATCATTAACCCTGTCCAACAAGCGTTCAGAACAAAAGGCAGAACTATTCACTGCACAACACTAATATAGTTTTGAAAGAAGTTCAAAGCATTTATGACTTACTGGAGCTAGGAAAACAGGCTTTATTTAATTTGTTGTCCCATGAGAATAATATGAAAAGAGCTTCCTACCTTTGTGATGAGAAGTCGGTATCTATCCAGCATTGCCTGGTTGTCATGGCAGCCTGCTAATAACTGCCACACCTCTGCCCTCAACGCTTCAGGAACACCACTCTTCACCAGAGTGGAGAGCCCTTTTGGTCGTGCACCAAGGTTGCTGTGCCTGAGAAAACAAGAAAATAAACCATTCATACTCCCTTTACCACTGCTAAACTGTTGTTGTTATGGAAGTATATTAAGCAGTTTATACAAAAGTGTAAGCCTGGGTCAAGAGAAAAATGGGGCGAGGGGAGCATGAAATAATAACAGTAGTGTTTAAGCTCAGTGATGTCTTCCACATTTTTTCTTCATCCCATCTTCTTTATTGGTGAACCATGTTACGCCACCATTAAGGAAAGTTTTTTCCTCCTCTCATTTAGTTTTTTAATCATCCTATGAACTTATTCATAATGTTGAATGTGTTAACTATTTATTTCTAGGCAGCATTTCAAGGCATAAAAAGAACCATCTGAATCCCCTGAGATGAATGTATAGCAAGTTGGCTAATGGTGTGTGTATGGCACAGATGGGAGGGAAGGGATGCTGAAAGTGGATCACAGGCCCATCACACCTTGACTATACCCCTACATCCTGACCCAAAGTGCTCCCTAAAGGAAAGATCTAGCCCTTTCCTACAAACCCTATACAATCTATACAACTCCACACTGCTCAGAGAGCAGCACATACTTATCAGCCTTACCCATTTCCAAGGGTATTTAGAATTGGAACAAAGGCAAATATTTCTTGTCATGACGTCAATGATCACATAGTAGGTATGCTACTATGAGAATCTGCCCAATTTAATAAGAAACTGTAGTTCTCAGTCTTGTGAATATAAATTTCATTCCTCAACTTTTTCCTAGTGCCTAGCTTGAACCTGGAGCCATGTTCTATGCCTTTTTGCTCAGACTTTATCTCTACTTGTATTTGCTGCTCACTTTTGATCTCTTAGACCTGACCCTGGTGTAACCATCTGGACTCGAAACCCTGAGGATGTACTCTGGTTTGATCTAACATCCCAGGCTCTGGTTTCAAGTTTTAAGCCTTAAAAGTCACAGAATCCATAGGTCCATTTTTTAAAATTAGCCTTCCATCTACTTCACCTACTTCTCTAGCTAATCTACACTCTTCCACCTCCAGCCCAGATCTCAGTTTTGGCACGCCCTTCCTCTGAAAATATGTTCCATGTTTCTCCATACTGTCATAATCTGGCTACCTTGGAAAAACTGTAATAACTTTCATAACTCAAAAGTTCAAATAAACTCATCCTATTAATATTTTTAATAAACCATCAGATTTATATCCATTCTGTTCTCTTTTGGCTTCTTCAAAGAAAACTTTATATTGTTGAGTTAAAGAACGTAAGCTGACAATACTGATAGGCTTGAAGCAAAACAAAGTAAAAAGAGGTAGAGCTTGTATGATTGAACATCTATTGCACTATTAAAGAACACAGTCACGCTGCTAGGTGAAAAAAGCAGGTTTCAAAATAGTATATATAGTATTATTTTAAATACACATTCTCTCTCGCTCTCAAAATTGTATGTATGGTATTATTTTAAATACACATTTTATCTCTCTCTCTCTAACACATACTATTTTGAACCTGCTTTTAACATGAACAGGAAAACAATATGGAAGAATATACTCCAAAATATCTGTGTATAGAATTAAGAGGGAAAGTACTCCTTTTATTTTCCTATGCTGTTTGCAATATTTACAATGATCTTAAATTCTTTTATAATCATACATAAAAAAAGTAATTTCAATTCTTTAAATTTCTCTCATGGACTTAAATTAAAATATAACTTTAGTTAACTTGTAAAAACACCATAGCTAAATATGCTCCACAAAATATGACAAGTAGAGAGTATTAATTATTCTTGAGAAGACTTACACCTGAGCAAACTATGTGCCACCTGGAGCTTCCTTCCAGCTGCCTCTTCTTCACTATCCAATTGAGTTTAAGATTAGCAAAGGAATATTATGCCACAAGACAGCCAGGATCAATCATAAAAGGATCTTTTTCATAATTTATTATTTCGTTATGATTATACTTTTGAATAGGAAAAACATACGTGGTTTGTGGGTAGCTGAGTTTCTGTACTCTTAGTGTTAAAAAACTGAGTTAACTAAAAACAACAATGTGCAAAGGAGTAAGCTGATTTCCTCTGAAATTAAATGCTAAATATTCTAAATTATGAGTCCCATAATATATAACATAAGGGGAATTCAAGTAATTAAATACGTTATATGCTACATGTTATATAGAGATCAATAAGTCATCATTGTGTATCTACAGCTATTAAACCTCCAATAAATACCCCTCATGTAAAAGAAACCTTTATTCAACCCCCTATAATCCCCTAGCTCTCATACTGTCTCCTACCTTGTACATCCAATTTCTAAAAGAGTTGTTGTATACTCACTACCTCTATTTCTTGCCCTCCCACTCACTCCTCAACTCAGCTCGACATGGCTTCTCTACCTCTCCTAGAAAACAGATTTCACTTCAGTAATACATGACCTCTCCCTATACCACTAAATTCAAGGGACATTTTTTAATCCTTTCACTGTAGACCACCTTGTTTCCCCTGGCGTCAATGACAAAGCACTCTCTTTTCCCCCTCACAAACCCCACTCTCTTGTCTCTGGGCATTACCATCCATGCCCATGTATTCTGAGCTTCAGAGGCACCTCAAAATCAACATGCTCAAATCTGAACTCATATTCTCTCTCTCTCCAAACCTGGTTGTTTTCCAGGGTATCCCATCTCAGTGACTGTCACCATAATCCATCCAAATTAGAAACCTAGGCATTATTGGTGCCATTACTCTCTGCCCCACAATCCATCACTAAGCCATCAACGAGTCTAATGCATTTTATTTTCCCAACCTCTCCAAAATCCATGCATTTCTATCTCCACTGCCACCAATTCTATTCATTCTATTCACTCTAGACCTCTGCAATAGCCTCCTAATATCTATTTGCCCTACTGCAATATATTTCCAATACTATAGGCAGAATGAAGAGGACAAACAGCTTGATTAAATATTTCGTTGGCTCAGCTTATTTTGTATAATGATTTACATAAGATTTTGAATTTGGAATATCTCTTCCTACACATGCACACACGCATACAAACACATGCATATACACATCCCGTAAGGTTAACAGTCAACAGTCCCTAATGAACATTTTACCATAATATGATGCAACTCAATTGACATTCAGCTTCTAGCTGACCCTCAGCCATCTGTTTGGCCAGGCATAATGGAAAAAATCTTTTCTCCTTTCTTAAAAACCTAGGCACTATTTATCTTTACAGACTAACATTTAAAAAGAACCAGATCATTCATAACACTGCATCATTAACAGCTTTAATTTACTGATTATCCTGGTAATGATACAGTAATTATACTGCATACAGCACCCTGGTACTTAAGAGGTACTAATGGATATTAAGCCAAATGCTACCAGTATACCTCTATCACCAGGGAGGACCCAAACAAAAGAGCAATTTATAGAAATAACCATTGCTTTCAATATTTCTGATAAAAATGTAACTACGTGTGGCACTGCCTTAATACAACATTAACTGCAGCTATCAAGAGACTCGGAAATAGACAACTAGTTACGACACACGCTGAACTCTGCACTAGAAACAAGATAGATATCTAATTATTCAAAAAAATCACACATAAACCAGATATATACTAAACACATAGTAATCAGGTAGGTTTTAATGCATGAATATAAACTCCACAAGGGCAAGTATCTCTGCTTCTTTACTTACGTATCCCAAGCACCTAGAACAGTATCTGGCACATAGAAGGCATTCAATACATTTTAGATAAATGAATAGGTTTATGAAATTAAATTAATATGATCAACTATTAAGGCTAAGCAAAGAAAGCATGCTTTTTTAAAAGCAAACATTCTCATTGATTTTAATAGGATCATAAAGCTGCTATGTATTCATCTAGTTACCTCCAAAGAGGCATCTTTTCTTGAAACTATCTAGGTATAGAACTTTTTCTATTTTTAAAGCTGTCCAACAGAGAGTTTCAGAGAGAAAGTATCACTGCTAACAAAAACAGAAGAGAAGTCAAGAGATGAGAAGAAAAGCCACTGAATGACACTGTGTGGTGGCTGATGGAATTAGGGCAATTTTGATAGAGGGGAGGTGGAAGGAGATGGCTAGAAGATATGAGAATGAGAGGGTAGCAGCTTGACCCATTTTAAAAGGTTCTCTCAGAAAAGAGAATAGTTAGAACTGAAGCTAAAAGATGCGGTGGCATCAAATAAAGTTGGGGATTTCTCCTTCCTCCAATAATGAGAACACCGAGGTATGTAAACCTAGGTCTTAGACTAAGTTAAATAAGCTACATTAAGAAAAATTTCATGAAAAGAGATAGATTAAAGGTCACTATGAAGATTAAGAGAACAAATTTTGTTTTGATTTATGTTTTTGAAGGGTTTTTTCCCTCAGTTGAAAAAAATGGAACATTATATTAATGTGAAAAGGAGGGAAGCTACAGATGTTCATACTTAGTGATTCTAATTTTTCAGGTTCCTCAGAGGTTAGGTTTTATTTTTTCCCCAACAGCTTGTTGATGCTCAGCTAGGGTGAGAGGCCACTGATTAAAAACATATTTTCCCACTTTGATAATAAGTATAGCCATGAGGAATACAATCAAAATGCCTACTAAATGTGTATCAATTTTCTGATATTCTAATAAAAGAGAATGAATAGTTTGAGGATGGTTTTATTTAATATAATAAACCAATACCCAATTTTTACCTCAGATGTTCGCTTAGTTTTTTTGTTAGAAAACCTTGTTGCTACAAAAGTTGATTTTTATACTTAAGTGTTAAAGGTTAGCACTACGTTTTCCTAGTCTTTAAAAATCTCCACAGCTTCCACACAATTTCAAAACCAGAAGCAGTTATCCAGTAATAATTTTACCCAATATCTTAAATTCCTTAAATAATACTCAAGTCATCAGCATTACCATTCTGAATATATTCAACACATAAAAGAAATCTTCCTACCACTTTCACTTTGGTTTTTCCAAGTCTTCCCATCACAAATGTTTCCTCTCTTGCTCTCTCCCTGTCCCT